CCAAATGCCTCCCAGCGGCTGCCATGGAGCCACTCAGGCCACACAATATACTCTTTTTACCGCATCCCAGCTTGGCAAACCTTCTGCGGCATATCCCAAAGGGCCACTCAGGCCACACAATTCTCTTTCTCCGGCGTCTCCCATGGAGCCACTCAGGCCACAGAATTATCTTCTTTACGGCGTCCAAGCCTGCCGTGTGGCAGGCTTCAAAACCCTCCAAGTGCCTCCCGGCGGCTGCCATGGAGCCACTCAGGCCACACAACGCCCTTTTTACCGCATCCAAGCTTGCCAAATGCGGCATATCTCATGGAGCCACTCAGGCCACAGAATTTTTTTTTACGGCGTCCAAGCCTGCCGTTTGGCAGGCTTCAAAACCCTCCACATGCCTTCCGGCGGGTATGGAGCGACTCAGGCCACACAATGCTCTTTCTACCGCATCCAAGCTTGCCAAACCTTCTGCGGCATATCCCATGGAAGAGCCACTCAGGCCACACAATTCTCTTTCTCCGGCGTCTCCCATGGAGCCACTCAGGCCACAGAATTTTCTTTTTACGGCGTCCAAGCCTGCCATTTGGCAGGCTTCAAAACCCTCCAAATGCCTCCCGGCGGCTGCCATGGAGCCACTCAGGCCACACAATGCTCTTTGTACCGTATTGTCTGAATGCTGTTTGGCTCTGCGTACTGCATTGTTGGTTGCTAGTGCATCATGAATCTTGGGGTTTGGAAAGGACTGCTGAGAAAAGGACACCTGCGCTGATAAATCGGGTACTCAGCCAGTTTCAACTTCCATTGATAGCTCTCAAACAAGCAACTTCCTTGTCCTTCAAACCTTCATCACGATTCTGAGTACGGCTACGAGAAAAATGAAGTGGACAAAGTTTACTTGCAAACGTTTCTTGATTCTTGGCTCATCTTAATCTGGAAGCTTACCGGGTCCTGTTCATATCTGGCTCCACAAAAGTCTCCATCACCGTTTCTCCACTTGCGAAATTCAAACTGCTGTCAAAGGCGACGCAGACCTTGCTCCTATTTGGTCCCACTCCCTCCGGTAGCACAGTCACCAACATGTACACCATAAACACCAGTGAGTCGAGAACCTTCCCTCATGTAATACACACAACTGTCAATCTTAGATCTCTCAAAACCAGCTGCTACAAGTTCGCTATCCAGCTTACGGTACCATGCAGAAGGAGAATACTGGTGTTGCTTGCGCTGCTGCTAATGCAAGACAAAGGGGTCGGCGGCACCAGGGCGTTAGCCCATTCTATTACTGTACAGGCCCTCTACCCTGAGCATGAAAGAAAGCTGTCTTTTCAACCATGCTCAATTTACAAATTCCTCCGAAAATGAACCAATCTCAGAATTCCAGGATTGCTTCCCAAGTCAGTTTGACTGGGGGAGCTTTTTTCGGCTTCAAAGGATTCCAAAGGTATATATTACTATCCAATATACATGCACTTTATCCTTCAATGCATAGATGTATAAGGTTTTACCCCTTAATTGTGACGTGCCTAAAACATTCTACAACAAGTTCCTGCCTGTTTTCAAACAAGTTTTGACTTTCCATTCACAGCGGTCCTTGTGATAGAAGTGGTCGTAGAGGCCTTAATCATTTGAATTGAAGACATGCAGTAACACAAGTTTATTGTCTTTGCTTGCCAAATCATTGGTTTAATGCTCCGCTGGGCCTCTGGCGCAAAACATGGTTGCGATCAACGTTGCCATTTACATTGATGTACTTCAAGAGCTTGATTTCGTCCAGTGATTGATCAAAAAAGTCCTCGACATCAGCTGCTGGTACATTACAGACCCAGGAAACAAACAAGCTTGAGTCAGCTATAGTCAGCTTGAGAATGTATGCTACTCAGGTCCACTACGAAATCCACACGGCTTGTGTCTGTGAGAGCCCTCCAGGCGTTAAGCTATTTGAATACGTGTAAATGACTGTCGTGCAACGTCTGTCAATGATCTTACCACGGTGAGACGGTTTGGAAGTTTTTAGAGGCACAACTTTTTGGAATGCTTGCTCGACAAACCTGCTGACTTGTCCAGGTCGTTCTTCTGACAAATCAGAAGACAGCTGTAGCAGTTTTGGTGTGAAACAAGATTTGCATAGATTTGCATAGATTTGCTGCATGTGGTTCGCAAGTGCTTGCATTTTCTGGCAGCTGCACCACAGCGTGCCCTTGGGCCGTGACCAATTGCAGGTTCGCTCGATTCATGTTCATCGAGCAGGTTGGGTTCCTACCTTCCCTATTTTGCTTGCAGAAAAGCGATGCTAATGGTTTTCAAAAAAGACTTTGACCAAGGCACTGCAACGGCAAAGAAAATATCCACGTCGGGTTGTAGCTTGAGGATGCTTCAGGTACGCACGTTTTGCACACGTAGCATAAGAACTGAACTGCTGCACCAAAAGCAAACCCTGCACAATCATGCACAATCAATATAATTAATCGTATACTCAGACTCCTGGATGTGCATGTATATACTGTATATACATACACGACTAATCACGACTATAAGTATGTTGAGCTACAGTATATTAATGCAATACACGCATAATATTCCCACACAGTTCCAGCACCGTGGATGGGGAAAGTTGCAAAATGTAAATACAATATAATATATATATATATAATACACTGTTTGTGACCACGGGCAAAAGGGTTAAACGGAATGCTGCGTCTAGCCAAGGCCGGTGAAGGTAGAACAGAACATGGCAAGGGTGGCGACAAGTGCTTCCCTTGCATGTACAGTAGAAGGGGGCAAGTTTGACAACTTGTCCATTGTTTGACTGGACCATCAAAGAACTGGCTGCTCTGGTCGCTGCCTTGTCATTCTTGATGATCTTCATGCAAACCATCTTGTTAGTGTCCAAGTCCAAACACTGCACCTCTGAATAAAGTCAGCGTGAGGAATGCCCAAATCTAGCCGAGGTCGGAGCACAAACTTAAGCGCGGGACAGCTCGAGAAAACGCGGCGGAACCGAGATATTCAATGATCTGATACCTTTCAACGGCTCTCCATTGATCTGAGCAAATGTAATCTTCCGATTTGCCAATGCCATCACAGTTTTCGATCAACCAAAGCTTGCCTCGCAGCAACCACTGTGTTTGTGCGGATTGGAAATTCCTGAGTAAATTCAAACTGTCTCAAAATACATCGACACATCCAGAAACCCTCAAGATCTCTCAAGCACTTCTGAAGTCAACGGCAGCAATGTTTATATATGTTTTATACATGGTCATCAAGACAGTCGAGGAAGTGACCTTGCTCTCTTCAAAGCCCGTCTTGTCCCTTTCGAAGACAACCCGCAGATTGAAGGAGTCGAAGATCTGAGATCTTTGCAGCGAGAAAAATCCGAGCACCCTGATGAATCCTGATGACAGAAAAACACACAATGTCAACAAGATTATAAGATTGTAGATTGGTTGTTCAAATTTGAGACTGCCCGCACACCTTGTCGGGATCTACAAGAGATTGATGGAGCATTTTAAGGGAATTCGTGGATCGCCCTTCTGCAAGCCATACCAAACCAACGGGTGGCAGAATTCTTTGCCAGGGCACCGCTCCGTTCAACTCAACGGGGTAGAAGTTATCTCCAGATGGGGCGTACCTCACAGCTGCTGAAGCCGTGTCCAGGGATGTTCAGGAACTGATCACTGAGCACTTTTTCCAGATCCCTTTCTCAACTTTTCGCATCTTTTCGCAACCTATCTTGCATCAGGCTCATCTGACATATCCGACAATCAAGGCCATCGTTGTTGCGTATTAGCAACAACTGCCACCGCTGGGCTACTGTGAAACAACTTCAGGAGTCAGATTCCAACAACAAATGAGACGGGCAGTAGATGCTAAACTCGATTGACCTCGTCTCGCAAGCTACTGATTTGCTGACAATTTACTGACTTGTGAATGTTGAACGCATGTTGAATACAAAATCATTGGAGCATCTGTGGCCCGGTCGGATCTTGCACGAGTATTCGCGGCGCATGCCTTGAACAGAGAAAACAGCTTGACATATAATATGGAAACATGTGTTTACATGTCTGAACATCGAAATCCAGTGCAGCTTCGAGGCTCTGGAACATTGAACAGCCCCTGCACACAGCTTTCAGCGCATAGGAGCACCTGTGCAGACTCGCACACAAAAACACTAACAAACAATTCTTTTGAATATATATATATATATAATTACATAAGTATGAATACACAATCTATGATAGTCATTGATAGTCTACATTTAATGATTACGTATATTTACTGTACATTTAATGTACTATCTGGTGCTGGCAGGCAGCAGCATTCCTCAAATATGAACAGGATTGCCGTACATAACCACACTGCAAGCCGGTCATCTGCAGTTCTGTTCCACTTTTTGCGCGGTGTGGCCTCCATACCTTCAAATGCTTGGTGAAAGGTTCGCGAAGTACTAGGAATTTCTACCAAGATGGCATCCTGACGCGTCTGCTCACACTGCAGAGACACGTGCAATGAATACATCTGCAGAGCATCTCGTGCTCGTGCAAATCTGAAATCCTATCCATAGACATTCTATGCATCCTTTGCTTGTGACAGCTTGCGATTGTGATTGCTCTGCTCTGTGTAGCTGTCCGTGGACTTCTCGATCAAATTCAGCTTCTCTCGAAAGTGACCTCATGTTGCACTTCTACTTCACGGACGAACGTTTCAACTGCTTGTGAGACCTTAGATTCCAGCTACTCACGATGTTGGAATCGCTGAACTCATATGCACCTACCTCAGCGTATCAACTCTCCAAGCGCAAGCTGCAGAGTCAGCATGCTTTGACGGCTGGAAATCTTTGCTTCGCACCGGAATCGTCCCCAGCAACATTCTTTTTTCGAAAACTGGTCCGCGTTCACAACCATAGTTGGCTGTGCATCTGGAGAAGCGCTCTCCAGGCACTGACCAGCCTGCACTGAAACGCCAAACACATTGTCAGCTCAAAGTATCTCAATGCATCTCAATTTATCTCGTCATTTTTTCATGCGTCCAGATTACCTCGCATTACCTTCACTTTACTCGACCATTGTTCTCGCACTCGTTGCCGCCATACAACCTTTACCCAATTTCACCCTCTGGGTCGCTGGCGCATTGTAGTTATCTTGCTTTTCCACAGAAGAGTTCGATGTGGTCTCGGTGAATCAGAATGGCAAAACTCATCCGAGTTTTGGAAAAGTCACATCAAGCTTCTTCCGTTGCAAATGTTGCATTGGGCAAATCCCATTGAGCCAAGCTCCAAGCCCTGGCAAGCGCATTGTCCCCCCGGCACCATCCGAAATTGCCACAGGATCTCCAAATAGTAAACCACCAATTCTCAGCAGATCCTGGGAAAACAATGGAGTGACTTGATCATACTTGATTGATCTTGATTGTGCTCCTGGTGCAGCCTTCAAATCTGCCAAACAATCGATGTTCCGCATACACCCCGTTGACAATCCTTGAGTTCCTTGCTTTACAATCAGCTAGTTTGGTGGAATTTACATGGACCTCAAATAATGGGACCACCATGGAAACCCCCCCAATAGCACGGGAAGCTTGCGGGAATGGGGTCCCATCCTACCCCATCTCCATGGACTGGTGTATAGTTTGGACTAGCTGTGCCAGTCCAGTTTTTTTGAAGTTTTATGTGCTTACCCTCTGAGTGAACTGCGCATATCTGCGCCATCTATACAGTTCTTTCGATTATTTGAAAGACTAAGGCATTGGCGTAGTGCACTCCAAAAAGAATGCTTGAGCTGCTTGAAGTATGGACCTTGGTCACCACTACCGAAATTAAATTCAGCACTGGACCATTCCAAATGTCAGGTTGCTTCTGTCGTGCAGCATTGTGCCCATTCCGTGTGGAACTAAGTATGACACAAGAGTCAAGTTTGCATGTCAGTGTGCGTGCGTAGGATTCCACCAGAAGGAATTACATCCCTTCTCAACCTACCCTTGGAGGCTGGCTGTTAGTGGCTGATTTCCGGCATCTCCTCCAAAAGTTTTCCTGACTTCCTGCCAATGGAGCATTGAGGATTCAAAGATTACTCAGCGGGTTAGTGACCTGGCCTACCCCAGGACTGTATGGTTCAACACATCTATTCCCTCAGAGTAAGAGAATGTATATCACATGTTTGAAAACCAACAACGGTCTCTCCCAAATCTGGTGGAGCCTACGTAGAGCATACATGCCTAGACAACAGTGCATGAATATGCATGAGTTTGAATAGTTGCACGATAGAGACAATGCTAATTTGTACATGATGACACATGCATAAATGAAGAACTAAGTGTTCATGGAAGTAAGTAGGTAGATACTTGTCACCTATCAATACACATTCATTATATTCATTGACAATATTGATAATATTGTGCCAAAACAAAGTCCAGAAGCAAAGCAGCGCGACCAATCCTGCACAAGTCCCAGCGCATGTTCAAATACTGCAAGTGAACGATGCATCTCAACAGGGTCGTACCTTACCAGGTGCAGACTTTTTGCTTCCCATATGAACATAGAATTGTGACTGATATGATCTGATATGAAAGTTCAGCAAAGTATGGAACTCACATTGACATATTCTGAGCCTCAAACACGCAGCACCAATGGGTGTAGACGCCATCCAGAGACCAGCCCGGCCACTTTTGCAAAACCATCGTTGCCGCTTCAGCGACCTCCTGGGCTGCCAAACCTTCTCGATTTAGGCCAGTATCCACCATGATGTGAAGCCTGTCCCGGAATTCACAACATCTCACAACTTGGTGTCTGCTGAAGTGTAAAGCGTCCTTTGTCCATGAACGAAGGTGCTAGCGGGTAAAAGTAGGTAGGGAGGTTCACACCACGTCCGGGGGTAGCACGAACAAGGGAGAAACACATTGACATAGAAACATGACTTGAAGGAGCATCTGACTGTTGTTGCATCATGAACGCGAGACATGATGGTGGATTTACCCGGACCCTCAAATGAAGTTGAATTTTGGAGACATAGAAGTACACATATAGTATTGCTAGTAGCAGCAAATAATGATAGTGGCACTGGCACAACCAAATAGTAGCGGTAGTAGCAGCTGCAATGGACATGATAATGATTAATTGCTTAGAGGATATGCCAGTTGAATCCTGGTGACGCTCTTAGGAGCATGGAGCTTTCGCTTTCCAGAAAAAATCATCTCGTGCACAGCCGGATGTAGCCTTACTTTCGAGCTGCAAGATGGCCATCGAAGCGCCTCCAAGCAACATGCATTGGAACTGGTATTTTGCTGAGATACCAGTAACTCTTTGAAGGTTCGCACACACCGTCAACTCAACAATTTTCTAATCCGTTTTGATCCTTTTTGCAGTGAGTTTTGAGAAAGCCTGTTGGAGCCAAGCCATGGACAGGACAGAGACGGTAATGTTTGCCTGACAAATGGATTGCCACAGCTACGTCGCTTGTCACACGAGTCCATGAAATTTCTGCAAAATCCTGCCAGGGTGGCAGAAGCCAGTTTGCACATCGCGGCCATCCCGGGAGATCGATACAGCAAGATCATCGGCAAAAACATGGGCACCTCGGATGAAAGTTCAAGCTGAACAACCACAAGATTCTTGCCTATTCTGTTTCTGCCGTGTGTTGTTTTATCATGGTTTATCCATTTTTATCCCATTGTTGTCCTTTGTTCATACGCCTTTGCATCTTCAGAATCGCATTTTGCAACATAAGCAGCTGGTGTCCAAGTGCTACACCCTCACTGCCCCTCACCCAAGACATTGCTTAGCTCGTAACTTCCGGGGCCATGCGCAAAATCAACCTGAAGAGCTGTCAGTGACATCGCGATACTACTGTGACAACTCTGTGACAAGTGGATGATGCAAAAAGATGCCATTGACATTAACCTAATGCCCTCATATGCCCTCAGGATTCTGAGTCCAAAAAGCAATGAAAACACATAAAACCACTAGGTTCCCGACCCAGTCTCAACTTCTGACGCAAAAAGTGCATCGATCTTGGCTGAAGCTAGGACTCTGCCTGAGAGCAGCAGAGTCTGGTCAGGCTTCTTCTCTAATCGGTTTCATGACCTGTACGATGGGCTTGCACAACATGTTTCTGATACTTCCTGACCATGAGCTTGCATACATTCCCATTCTGCTCTGGTTTATTATGGTTTATTCATGCCTGCCAATACTGCACCGTGTCCATAAGCATTTGCCTGACAGCAGGTCACAAATATGTCTCGGTTTGATTGGTTTCGCGCACGTCCGGCCAAACCTTCAAAACAGCTCCAATTGGTGGAGCTTCTGCAAAGTGCGTTTCTAAGTAGATCCGAACCTTGGCTCATCTTGGCGCTTCCAGCCGCAAGTCCCAGTCATCTGAAAAATTCAAAGCATGTTCCCAAGGTTGGCGCAATGTGCAGATTTTCCCTCAATACCCGGCCATCAACCTGAGGCTGCAAAGTTGCCAAGACCCAACACCCTGAGAAGCTTTGAGTTTCTTGAAGCAATCCTTGGAGCAACAGAAGCAATCGAGGAACCTCGGCCCAACTGTTTGGACGCTCCCCCTTTGATAAGTCCAAACATGTCCGTGGCTTTTGCATCACCGGAGGTTCGCTCAAAAGACGCCTTGCACAGTCTATATTTAGGCTTGTGCTGGAAGGGAGGGAACTGCATTCACGGGTCTGATGATCCACAAGTGTCACTTTTTGCCTAGAGAATCCTAGAGATGCATAGAGAGAATTTAGCACAATTTAGTTTCAATCTTGACGTGCGGCAATCGAACAAATAAAAATACAGTAATATACAGCCCAGCCTCCAGTGTTTTCGCACTGCAATGACCTGAAAGACTTCAAGTTCGTCCGTGATTCTCGTGTCCTTCAAAGAATGACTGTCCAATGTCCAACATTGTCCAAGTTGTAAGTTGTCGGGTGTCCAGCTGAGTTCCAAGGCGTTCACAACTTGTTGGCCTTCTGCAAAATAGCGGCGCAGCACTCCTGGAGCCTCAAGTCGCAGACCTTTCCGGTGTGAGAGGTAAATCTCGAAGCCTGAGCATTGTCGCTGGAAGGAGACAACTTGTAACTCAGTGTTTCACTGCTCGGCCCATTTGTGTCATATTCATCCAGAATCATGATAGTTCTATTTCCTTCTACTCTTTGATACTGGTCCTTTTCATCACAATATCTGAAATGTACACTAGGACTATGACGTCACTATGATTTGCTCGTCTTTTTGTCCACTGGCAAAAGCACTGCGGCTCCTGCCTCTGTGTACCAGCCACCTAACTGGACGACATGGATCGTAAGTAGGGTCGTGGATGACGCCAGATTCAGGTCCTTACAAGGAGGTCTGCGAAGGAGAATCTTTGAACCTACCCTGACAATCACTGACAGCTCGATGACATCTGATACTACAACGCTTCGGCATCACAAGGTAACATACAGTAACATGGTATGCCTCTGAGACAATGGCCGTACAACTGCAAAACAATGATGATTTGCGGAGACTTGCGGAGAATGCGCATGGCTCCACGAAGGATAGACAGTTCTTGCCTCACTCAACAGACGGCATGGTGCTAAAAGTAAGCATTTGTGTCGCATGCTGGTGTAGACTCATCACTGGTCAAGATTCCAAGTCTCAAACCCATTGGTATGGCTGACTATGAGGTTGATGTTGGAGAAAGGAGTTATGTCGTCCAACGCTCTTGTTTCCACTGTTGCCTGCCATTAGGAAAAGGATCTAAGAATCTAAAGTACAGTAGGACGCTAACAGACTCACCGACCACTCAAACGATGTCGGAAAGACGAAATCTGGCGAGGAGCCCTGGCAGAATATATTTGGGCACACCAACTGCGAGATACTATCATATATTATCATATTGATAATATATATATATATACATTCATGTTCATTCATATTCTGATCATTTGCCCCATTTCACTGGCAACTTACAAGTCAGAACCTGAGTAACTTCCAAACTCACAGAGTCTCAGAGACACATGTGATCATATGTGTTTTAAGCTTGTCTCAAACTTCGAAAAATCTACTTTGAACATTGAACATCTTAGAAATATTTGGAACTACTGTTGTCACCATGCTCCACGTACTCCGTTTTGTCATCTCGTTTCATGAGAATCTGATGTCAGCTGTTCTGGCCTCAGCCACTGTATATGAGTTTGAACTCATTGGCTTTGCTTGGAGATTTACAGCTCCCCTCAGCTGTCCTGCTGCGACATTCACAACCTGACAATGGCAACAATGGCAACAATGGCAACAATGGCAACAATGGCAACAATGGCATGGAATGGCCCTCATGAAAGAATGAAAAGCTGCATTTTGTCATCTTTAAACTCACCCAATGCGAAATTATCAGATGCTCCTGCCTGAATCACGTCGGTCAAATTGTTCCACTCCACAGACTTTTGAAAAACTGCTGCGGCTGCAGGAACTGCTTCTAAAGCCAGAACCTTGCAGACAGGTCCATCCATTTGCTTTTCAATCTTGAACCTCTGATAGCTACTTTCTAACTTTCCCTGGATCCAATCAATTTCCGTAATCTTTCTGTGCTTGGCTTTTTCCAAACCCAGCCAGCCTTGATACGACGAAGACCTGGAACTGCCTGCATACGTTTTGCCTCAGAGGGATCAAAAATTATCAAAATATGTACGTATTCAATGCATTCAAACACTTTTTGCCACAGCAGGCATCATTCAAATAGTGATCTTTAGGCTTGCTCCTTGTTCCCCCTGTGTCAATGTCAGAACCAGTTTGGAACAATGGCAACACACCGATGCAAAGATGAAAGAATGTCAACGCACAAAGGTGACAGACTCATTCACATGCATTCGTTGGAGGTTTCTTGCAACCTGCTAAACTCTCGCAGTTTGGAAGCACGATGCTTCCATGATATGGGCAAAAAAGCCAGCAAAGAAATCAAAGAAAAGGGTCTCTATATTCGAGCAGTCCCAAATGTCTGTGTGTGTGATCTTGCACAGGTCTGGTTGTCTTCTGGAGTGAGGCAGCTACAAGCCATACAGAGCAGTCGCCAAGATTTGCGCCGATCTCAACCACATGAACCTTGACACAATTGAACAATGTTGTTTAATGTTTTACCATATTGAACACATCTCTGCATTATGGTCCAAATGCATTCGTTGCCACTGTGCATCCAAAGCAGGGCTGCCAGCAGCCTGACTCCTTTGCATTGAAATCTAAGATCCAACTGCAGAAGCTCTCGTTCGGTGCAACCGTCGAGCCAAAGTTTGTACCACACGCAGGATTGATTCCTGGCAGCGAAGGTGGTCAAAGGATGTCAAAGGATTGTCAAGGTCTATGAATGTCATTGAATGTTTATATTGATTCGGATTGATTCGTCATATTTCGTCATTCAGGTGAGCTGCACGGGCGCTTAGACCATGCCGGAGGGACATTGCAATAAGGTACTTTGCGAGCCCGGACAAAATCCGATACCAATTCCCTGTAGGGGAAGACAAATAGCTGGTAGTTGATCTTCACGTCGTTCCGCATTCCAACATTGTCAGCCTCAAGCATAGGCAGCAAATAGGTGTAGAGTTCTCGATTTGGTTGAAGGTCATCAAATGCTGATTGATGTGGCATGTCAAAACGAGCCCCCTGCTCCCATCCAGAATTGATGAGGTTGCAGAACGATATCGACTATAGATGTGCATTGAAGCCTCATCGGTAGTGGCAAGATGATTGCAAATGCTGGACATTGCTGGACATTGCTTGACAATTTTCGCAACCGAAACATGTGCACAATCCGTATGAGCAATTTGCTACTTGGCTCCTTTTTGGTTTCTCATGGTTTCTCATTCCCGCCCTGTGCCTATCCAAAAGCCAAAAGAGCTCTGCTCCACCAGGCAAAGTGGACAACTGTTCAAGGCCGAGAAAACTGGCATCGCCTGAGATCCAGCAACAGATGGTACCAACGTTGTACCAACGTTGTACCAACATGGTGGCTTCAGCAATATTCAGTTTGACTCTGAAAAAAAAGGCTGCCCAGCCTGGCAAGACTTGCATCAGAAGTGACTGGGCCTCAACACGACATCCTAACTCTGAGACATTAATGACTAATGGAGAATGCTATACATTGCTATACAGTACATGAACCAAATGGAGAATTGTTCAACTTGTTGGCATGTCTTGCTGAACGGCCGACCTTAGCGATCGCACGCTGAACACCTTCTTGGGCAGAGGAAGCCGAAGCACCTGCCAGAAAAATCCAGAAAATACAGAGTAAATACAGTAGTGTCCTCGAGCCAACTGAATCCACTCCCCAGTTCCTGGTGCTTTCGTTGTCAAACCCTGCCTCTTTGCATAGCAGTACGGCGAGCCTGACTCACAATGATCACTCAAGAGAGAGACGCAGTGGCGTGACGATGTCGTGAAGACAAGAATCAACTTTCTCAATGTCATCTAAATCAATCCCAGAGGCCCTACACCACATGTGAACTATCCTCCATTGCGAATATATCCTGTTAAATGAGCGCACAGCAGAACCTTGCTTAGCAAAGGTATCTATGGAATAACCAAACCACTTGCTGGATCCTGCTCACAGTTCCAAAGACTGGCAACACGCCGCTGTTTGCTGTTCCTTTCAAGTTGCATACACTCTGGTAGTCTATTAATAGAGGTTTTAATGGGAAAAACGAAAAAACATGAAAACACATTCATCAACAAGGGATTATCCATTGCCACGTTTGACCACCAGATTATATTTCTTCCTGGGTCAGCTCTTTCAATGAATAACCAATGTTTTTGTTGGTGTTTCTTGTGTTCTTGTCTAAAGACTCTAAGCTTGGCACCCAGTCTGCCACTGCAAGCGTTGCTGCTGCTCTTAGAACTCGTGCATCTTTGTCCCCTTAGAGCAGAATTTCGGATTGGCAAAGCTTATCCAGCTGAAGTATCATCAAGTATATATATATATATTATATTGGTTCAGGAGCGTGTCCCTGTCCGAGGAGGGTGCCACACCTGCTTTCTGATTGCAAAAAGTCGAGGCTCAACTGCAAGGGAACCGCCTGCACAGTTGCCAAGGAGAAGTGGCCTACTCTACCACATTCATCCACATTCTGCATGGCAAAATCTGATACAAATCATGTCAGATTCTTTCAGATTCTGCTTGCGCATGTTGAGCTTGCTGACCTTCTGCAGGGCAAAGTATTGTCGTGTGATTTTGCACATGTGCTTTGCCATCCAACCTCATTGCTCTGAACAGCTTGGTGCAAGGCATAGGAAAAGGAAGTTGCGGCCTTGTCAGCTTGACGAAACCCTTCTAGACTCTAGACTATCCCAAATGTCCAAGCTTGCCACATTTCGAGAGAGGTTGACTCTACTAAACTCTAACTTGTTCACGGTTCACGCGAAAAAGATCAGTGATAAATGCAATGAATGCATGAGTTCAAGTGATTTCGAACAGCGAAGCTGTCTTGGCGAGCTTGGTGAAGTGCAAGGCAAAATTCCGCCGGACGCCAGGCAGTGTCACGCAGCAGGGCAAGGGCCTGAGCTTGTTTTGATAGGGCAGTAATATCACAATGATATGAAAACATAATCACACATCATCAAACAGCATGAAATATCATCAAATATCACCAAAATGCATTAGTCATTAGACATCATATGACATCATGAAGCAATGACTCCTTGAACTGATGCTCTTCCAGACAACGAGCATGGCAGCTGCGGGAATGGATGCAGCACATTGCAATGTTGCGATGGACCTACGAACTGCAGGCAAAATACTCCGAAGACTGGCCAGCAAAACTGTCGGAAGCGCGTGCACTCCAGCTCCTTTTGCCAATCCAGGCCTTCAGTACCAGAAAAAAGCCACCACCCAAATGGTAAGGTAAAGGACCATAAAGGACCCAATGAAAGGCATTCCAAAGCATCAACCAGCAATGCTTCCAAGATCAACTGAGAAATCGTTCTGAGGTGGCAACTCAACCAGTCATCTGCCTGTGAGTTGGCGATCAACCAACTCGAACGAGGCGAGAGTCCATCAGGGTCAGCAGCAATCAAAGCCTTGCAAGTTGGAGCAAAAGCAGCGAGAAGATGCGAGAAGCAAACACTTACTTTAATAGAAATGATACTATATAATGGAGATCGCAAATGCTGTGGACATTGGGACTACAAGTACGGCCAGGTTAGCTCCGCGACCAAATTGGAAATCAAGAGGCAAAACACACACTGGAGAGCACGAACATGACAGCAAAGGAGCGGTCAATGAATCATTTAAAAGCTATTGGTCTTTTGGGTCTGCTGTTTTAAAATAAATGTGCAATTTGTGCAACAGGAATTAAAAGAGCACTTTGATCACTCCTGAATGAAGGACACCAACTTGGATCAATGCGCCTTTCTAACCGAGCTGGAGTTACAACTTGAGGAACAAGAGAAGGTACAGTACAGGGCGCACCAAGCACACAAAATTGTTTTGGTACATCGGTACATGGTTTTAATTACCAGCGAGGCAGGAGAATTCAGGCCACAGGAAAACAAGCCTGGAAAACAATGTAACACGGAACACATAAAAAAGGGGAGACAAGACGGTGCAATTGAAAAGGGAGCCTGGAAGCAAAATGACGATCCGCTTCCTCCCATTTACAGTTGCTCCGGCTTTCCCATTTTTTGTTCTTGATGTGTGTCCTCTCCTTGAATGCACTACGAGACTTAATTGATACTGAGGAAAATCCACTGAGCTAAAGATCTACTGAGCTCCAGACTGTTGACACCAAAGCTTTGAAAGTCAGCTGCGCCCCAGACAAGGAGTCGCCCAAAGACTCCTCCAGCTCTGCCTTGCAAAGATACATATCTCTTCGAAGAAAACACATGCAGGTCTTGTTCGGAGTTCCGAGAAATTCGCATACGTTCTCATCATCACATCTTTCTCTGTGAAGTGTCCAATCTGCAGCTCGCACCGGAAATCCAATCTGCACAAGTCTGCCAATCGCAGTGGCGTCAAACAGTTCCGACCTGAAAGCCACAAGATGCCACAAGAGCACAAGAACAAACCTGTCGTGAGAAAAATAGTTGTTTGACCGCTGAGGCTTTGACTTGTAGTACGAAATTTGGTAGTAGGCCAGGAAAGGAAAGTAGAGCGAGATATTCCTTTGCAAGCTACTAGCATATTGTGCGGCCTTGTCTCGGCTCATCCATCTTTTCTCCAGAGTTCTAAAGGCTTTGAGCCAACGCTTGAGGATTTGAAGCACTTTGAGGAGGCAAAGCACTCTGAAGACAGTTCAAGACCAGAAGAGTTCAAGGTTATCCGACGCAAAGCAAACGTCGCAAAACTCGCAAAGCAAACAAATGTCAAAGACACAAACTACAAGAAGATACAAGAAGAGAACACTTGAGCAAGCAGAGGTGTATTCGAGAAAAACACTGAGGGGTCACAGGACATCCTTCCGGAAGTGCGCTGCTTCCAAGGCCTGCATCGCTGATTCGGACCGAGTCTCTGATGACCCATTGCACAGCAATGCACAGACAAGTTTCAGAGGAATTTTCAGTCATTGGTTTGCTCAAACCAGTCACTTCATCGGATCTTGTTCGCTGCTTCATGCTAATTTGGTGTCCTTTTGGTGAGACTTTCGCAAAGAAGCAACTGACAGGAGCACTTCCTGCCCAAACATGTCGAATTGCTCACGCCAGATCGGCAATGTCAATTTCCGCGCTTGTGAGGCGTTCTGGCGCACAGGAGCTACGCAAGCTCCAGCTCAGCCTTGTGAAGCGTCTTGCCTCCACATTTGTATCACAGCATATCACAGCATTCACAAGGTAAGCAAGAACGAACTCTAGTTCAAACTGCGAGTTTTAGGCGTGACGGAGGAAAATGTTCATCTGCTGAGCCTTGATGACAAGTAAGACTTTTAGGAGTTTCAGCAGGGTCATGAATTTGTAATCATCTGAAAAACACATAAAAACACCACAGCACACACCGCCGGAACGTCTGAACTTCATTGTTTTGCGAACTATCTGACTATCTATTCAGGGTATCCATCCAACATCAACCATTCTGTTTCCAGCAATTTTTCCCCAGGAAATCGAAGATTGCCAGGTAGACCAGTTGAGGTGGAAAGGTAAGAGGACTGGATTACCAGGAAATTTTGACTGGGGGGATCTGGAAGATAGAACATGACATCTGTCCAAGCATCCAAACATCCAAGCATCAAGATGTGAAAGGGTGCACCGTTTGGGTTTTTTAGTGAAACCCATCCGATAAAGAACTCGCTCCAGAGATATTCAGATATTGATTAATATATCAAATACGTTCTTTGCAGTTTAGGTTCTAGGTCTGGCCTGGGAAACACGTTTGAACAGAACTTACATTGAAATTACAAAATATATCAGAATATAAAGAAGCAAGGATTAACAAGAAATCCGGGAGGGTCAAGAGGAAACAGGATCAATGGAGCAAACAGAAAGGGAGCTAGTTGGCATTGGATCACTTTTGCTGGCCTGATGATGATTCGTGGCCTCGGAGGTTTTGACAGCTCTTCCACGTACTCTTGGCTGATTGTTCATTGTTCGCAGTCCGATTTGGGGTCTGCTTAAAGATTTTGAGACGCAAACCATCTTGGTCATCTTAGGTCACAGTATTTCAAAATTCTGCTCATTATTTCTATCCATCTCTGAGTTCTTGGGAGTCGGGCTGTGGTCTCAGCTTCTTGCCAAGACTCTTCTCCTTTGCTGCGGCTGATCAGTACAAACTCCCAAAATCAATGCTCCAACATGAGCGATCAGGTGCAAAGTGAGCCCGCAAGCCCGCATGAAATGTCGAAATGGCGAAATGCGCCTGGTGCATCAAATCATGACAAAACGTTCATGTGCCAATGTGAAATAAAACATATTCAAAGTTTGGTAACATATGGCAACTATGCGGTTGAACTTTTGCTCTTCATGAATTCAATGAATGGCTCGAGAATGCGTCCCATGTGTTGCGATGTGTTGCGTCCTGCGCCACGTGTGGCAGGGGCAAAGCGAGACCAAGGCTGCTGTGGATCAGTCTCCGAGCCGCTGCTGGTGGCCTCGGTGCAGCGTAGCCAGCGTAGCCCGCTGTTCAGTACGGTCTGCATGCAGCGCAATGCGTGTGTGTGTGTATATCTCTATAATCATCTATAAATATCTATAAATATAATATAGATATCTGCATATACACACAATATGTACAAACATACATGAATTACAATTATTGAATTACATAAGATGTATTAATATTATATGTCATGTCATTCCATCAAAAGCATTCACAGACCCTGTGTTGGAAGGCTAGTCCATATCAATTTCAATGTGGATCTTTGGGGTTTGAGCAGATGGAAGGCAATCAACATCAATCAACAATCCTCTAATCTAGCCAGTCAAAATCACCGTCTGGGTCCATGACGGCTTCTGCTGACGCAAAGCGCCATTTTCTGCGGAGGAGGTTGCCTGGATCTCGACTCGCTGTCGGCCGCATCTAAGCCTCTAAGCTAGTCTCATGCTGTCGTCTCGACATTAGTCTCGACTAAGTTTCTGACAAGTTCAACAGCCTTGCTAAAGGGTGAGAAATGCTCCTCTGCGATATTGCCTCGCAAGGCCAGGTGGATTGTCTCACTGCTTTAGAATTTGTCAAAGCAGATCTGTGATGATCTGTGGTGCAGAGTGTCTGGCCAAGCGGACGGTAGCCAGGCATAGGAAAACGGAGCGGGACCTCAGGAGGCAAAGTAAACTCTCTGTAAACTCTCTATCACTTTCATCCACTATCATTCACTTTCTCAATTCTCCTCACATGTCTCACATTCTCACATGTCTGACTAGTCTCACAATGTCTCGCAATGTCTCACTGGTCTCACATGTCTCGCTGGTCTCACATGTCTCACGTTGATGTGCAAGTGACCTGCGGCGTCGCACCACGCAGCAGGATGCTGAATGGCCTTCCTTGCCTAGCATGGATCACTCAAATCATCGGCACATATCGGCACAAACTTAGATGAGACCGACCTCTCACTACCAACTGCGCAGGGTCAAGAGTCTGCGAAAGATAAATGCAAGTGCAGAGACATGGCGGAAAATGAGCGACCCGCAACATGTTCATTCCATTGAATTCCATTGATTTCGATTGTGTTTCCAAACATTGGATGTGTGGAAGCAAGCTAATTCTGAAAGTCAGATTGAACAAACACCCGTTTTCTGTCAGAGACTTTGCGAATGAAAAAACAAGTGAAAAAAAAAACAAGCCAGGTGTACCCCTGACAGACGTGCGGCTGCAGTGGCGGTATTTCAATGCCTGATGTCATTTTGAGTGCCACAGTGCAAGCCTTCAAGCTGCCTGGCAAAACAAGGTCCCATGCCTTCTGCACGAAGGTCAAATGCCATGCCCAAGTTGCGCCCATTCAGCATGAAGGACAACCTAGGACCTGAGCAAGCATTCAGCACAAGCTGATGTTTAGTTTTTCCCTTTCCCCTCTCCCTTCTTAAGCCTTTCTCTCTGTTTCTTGCATAATCTCGCATAGCTGCATGCTGGGGTTCATATTACAGGCATTGCCTTTCCTGTGTCTGGAGACTTGTGCAGCTTTCGACATGAATGTTATCTTTTCGACTATATAAAACTTCAACCATGTTTGTGTCGACACTTTCATGGAACCAGCAGGACAAATAGAGAGATAGAGAGAGAGAGAGAGAGAGCGAGCGGTGGGGCGAGTTGGACAAAGAGGGCAAATGGATAACTGAAACCCCATGCAGAAGCACAGCTGCAACACGAGACAGCCAGTCAGGCAGTTAAGCACACCAATATCCGACTCTGACACTTGGTGATCTGACAAATCAAAGGAGAAAATGATTCATAATACATGCATCTGAGACACCGCATGAGCCGGCTTGCCAATCAAGAAGGGCACTAACCTTGGTCGGAGGCAATTGAGTCTCAGGCGATCGATATTGAACAAGTCGTTAACCATTGTTAACCGAGCAAAATTCGTCACCGAGGCCAGCAAAAACGATGGTAGATGGTAGCAGGATCCTCTGTGAAGCTAAGAGATGCGCAACATCTCCCTGACGGCCAAAGGGAGGAACGCCTATCAAGCAACCTGCACCGATGGGATGGAAAGATCAGGCCAGTTGAGCCCCGTCTGAAAGACAAGTTTTTGAGTCGCAGTAATCTGCAGTCTTGCCGCCTTCTCCAATCAGCTCTCCGTCAGATGAGTATCCAAGCATTCGTCGCCTGAAAGCTGCACCCAAACAACACATTGCAACAGGTTGCAATACTATCTGTGTGCATGTAATTGCATGTATATTTATATATGTGTGATTTTTATTCAAATCCTCTCAAGCCACCACCAAATTCTGCTAATCATCATGATCATCATGTACAATTCCTTTTGGATCCAGATTGCATACCCTTCAGAAAGTACAAACAAATGCCTGGAAATCCTTCCCCTCTGTGTCCCATGTTGACTACACTGACTTGGAAAGGGAATTGAATGCACTGTAAAGCGACAACGTACAGAATTTACGTGCTCCTAAAAGAACTGCGGATGGTAGGGATCAGCAATTTGGTTTAGCAGCTTAGCAGGGAATGGTTGTAGTCGGATAAAAAGTCAAGTCCCTCCGAATCCAAGCTTTCGACGCAGCACTGCGACCACTACTGGCAAGCGCCGATGGTAGTACCAAGGCCTGACTACGTGCATATGTCAGAATCATATGTATACAGTGTTGGGCATTATCTACCTGTATAGTCATATAATATCATACAATCATAATCATATTGATTATATAATTTATAATATATAGATATATATTATACATCCGTATATATATATATTATTATATATATATATGTGAGGTCTAGTTATATAAACAGATGCATCATTCCGTATGGCAAATAGCTAGGAATCTGGTTCAAAACATTTGCTTGTTGCCGGGCACCCAGATGAGTCAGTGGCTGGGCTCCAGCCAATCGTCAAATCACAACCTCGACGAAGCTCCACCTGCAGTTCACTGACCCTGGCTGTGATACAACCAAGATAAAGATCAATAAAGTATCAGCAAAGTATCAGCAAAGATACCAAAATGGTGCAAATGGACATAAAATTACATAAATGGACCAAATACTAAATGCATCTAAATGCTCAGGTCTAGAGGAGATGTGGTGAAAATGTGGTGAAAATGTGGTGAAACGCAGCAACTTTTGTTGCCTCGTATTGGTATTTGCCACCGGCCACCAGCGGCAAGCCCTTGATGCCACTGGATGTGGTCACATTGGGGGTGGTGGCTTCGCACCTCAGGGGCCATGTGGCATGTAGTCAAACTGGTCGTTAAAGTGTTATCACAGTTATGACCTGGCACAACAAAATGCTCAAAATGCAAGAATCAACAACTGAGAGACCACGTAGACAACTGAGTACGGCCACAATCTGCGTCCGCTGATGGAACTTCGTCACATACTCGTAATATCTCGTAACAATTCGTCTGAACGTGTGAACGAAATCCAAGGCTATGGCTGGGCACGCAGTCCATCTGCCGAGATGACTATTCCTCAAGCAGGTCTGATCTTCAATTGAATAAGCTAAAGATATATAGCTAAAGCATGCTAAAAGCATACCATTTCCTCATCTTTCTTCCACTTGGATCCAATTGAATCGCACAGCCAAAGACAGGCTTGGGTCAAGGTGCTCTCATCCTTTTGAAGCGGATTGAAGCAGCAGGACCCTGGCTTCTCAAGTGTAGCCTGAACCAAGTTGGACTGGCATTCAAAAGCACTCAGAAAAGCACATGGACTCCATGGACATCGCATTGCATCTGCTATCAGGGGATGGTGTCAGTGAATTCAAAGCCTCAAAGCGACGCGCTAATGCTCGCATGTTGGGTTCTGCTTTCTGCTTCTGCTTCCTCGGTGGACGTATTAACAGATCGATGAAGTCTAGGGCACATGACATGCCTGCAATTTTTGGCACAATCAGAAGCTGACTAAATCGAAAGCTCTTCTGATTTTGTGCGCGCATATTTGTACACTTAAAATAATTTAAATCTAACTATAAAGGGAGTTCAAAGCTTGAAGAAAATGTCAAAGCTTGGATCCTGACCGTGGACCTTGAGCTTCTTCTTCTAGCAGTTTCCGATGCCACGCTGCCTTCGGAGACTTGAAACAGCAACCATCGATACCAGGGATACCAGGCCCAAGCAAAAGCTCAACCCCCCATTGACTCCAATCGACAGAGAGACTCGTGGCGACTCAGAGTGATTTGAAGTGGTGGCTTGGTGGCCTTGATCTCCTTCCATTTGGCGAGTTCGATTCTTCGCCGCTTCTCATGGGGAGGCATGTAGCGCCTTGCACACCACATACAACACTTTACAACACGGATCACCACGGATCATCACAGTGTCACATTGAATCCTCCTGATCCTGGCATCACAACAAGTTCGACGATGCAAATCTCTTAGGTTCCAACGCTTGCATGGGATCCGTCAGATCAGTGGATCCAGCAAGACTTTTCCTTTTCTCACCAGCCTTCGCGAACTGAAATTGCATGTTGAAATCAACTAAAGACGAACACTATCGAACATTGTCTTTGTCAAGCATAAATTCAAGAGACACTCGAGCCTTGCTCTCTACAATGGCGGGCTTGAGCTGAGGCCTGTGACGATCACATCCAATTCCAAGAGAATCAACTCGTTCAAGTTGAATAAGTTGAATATGATCAAACGATCAAACAAAAGGCAACTTTTGAAGCAAGGCCTGCTCCGCAATCGAGCAACCTTTGCACAAGAGTGTGCGTGTCTACAAAAATCTTCTGACAAGGATGCATGTCATGGCGGCATCAAGGATCATCAAGGCATAGCAAGGCTGTGGACTGAGCATAGTTTGCCCAAACAAACATAACAAACCGGCCCCGAGCTACAGCACCTGCCCCGGGTTGTTTGATTGAATCGTGCTTTTAATGAAGGTTGCTTTTCAGGATCCTGGACTAGCCTGGCTAGGTTCAGTTCTGGATCTATAGGTTCTGGGAAGGCGTCGCGGAGCTTTGAATGCAGCCTTCGCAATTGTCGCGAAGACATGCGACGCGCGCGCCACATGTGTGGTGCATTTTGTGCAACGCCTCTGCGAGGTGCCTTTGCGATTCGATGCGCAAAATTGCAATTGCTGCCTACTGTGTTTGACGTCTCAAGGCGCCAAGCTGGCTTGCAAAGCGGCGGCCGGACCCAACTTGGAGTTTTGCCCTGAACCTTTTCTATCCTATCCCGAGAAAACGGTAATCAAATGATGAATAGAATGCAATGTGCCTCCAACATCCTGAAACCTCATGCACACACAGCTAGTACTCCAATGACCAAAATGCGCATGACGCACCGACACGGAAGCTTCTTCTCATGTCTTCTTCATGTGCTCTGGAACCAACCAAGCAACCGCAAGAGTCTGACTCTTCTCCGGCACCAGCCGAGCCCTTTTGCGGGGTTCCTCCTGATCGCAGAGATCTCAGGCATGCCGTGTTCGACAAAGTGCACCCTCCGAGCCTTGGAAATTCGAGCTGCTGGAACAAGGGATGCTGTGGCTGGTCTCTCCTTGCCATGTTGCAACTTAGCAATTGCACATCTTTGCACCCTTTCTGTGACCAGCACTTCAACTGGCTGCTCTTCAATTGCAGCAAATGTGTAAGCTGTTATATACTGCATAGCCTGTCATTCTGCCCCACTTGGGATTCCAGTTTGATATCTTTGATTATATAACGAGTTTCCTTGTTTCCAGACCATACAACGCTGTGGATGCCGAAGGAACGGACGCAAATAGAAGGTGTATGACTGATCAACCAAGGATGTCATGGGTTCCGAGCTTTCAGCAGCTAAACTGCACATCCGAACCACCTTATACCTTTTATATATATATATATATTCAGCTTTTTCATGCTCTGCATATCTTTGCGTTCTGGTCATTTCTTTTTGTTTGCCTCGACTCCTTTCGATCTTTCGATTCCGATCGATTCCCAGGTCCCAGGTGTCCTCGACTCCCTCGAGTTCCTCAGCTTCCTGGTCTGTGGACCTTGGGGCTAAAGAGTCACCCTGTCGTTGCTGCGAAGCTTTGAACACCGCATCAAGCATGGTCCGCATGGTCAGGATGGTCAGGACGTGAAGCTGTCAGAAACTGAGAATAGGGCTGGTCCAACTGATCCAGAGGATCCAACAGAGCTAGTGGATCCGCTTCACACTCAAGTTCTTCCTCTCCTTCCTCCAACAGCTCAACCGGCTCAACCTCTTCATTCCCAAACTCCTCCAACTCCTCCAGCTCCTCCGAATCCTCGATCTCCTGCGTTTCCTCCAAGTCCAGATCTTCCAGACCTTCGAAATCCGCATCACCGACCTGCTGGCGTCATCACTTGGACGGCAGTGATTCAAATCATCTTAAGATGCGATGTCAACTACAGCGCAAGCTATGCGGCTATGCCATGCTATGCCCTCTCCATCCTTCTCCATCCCTCTCCACACCTCCATACCTTCACTCCACCAAGACTGTCCTTGCGCAATTGCTTCCTGCGGATGACTTTCAATACGTCAAGACGATGATGCATCAACTATGAAGATGCACAAAGGATGCGAAACATCGTTTGCATGAGTTTGCATGCAATATTCAGTCAACATCTTTACAAAGCGCAAAGACATCACATTCTCCACATCCTCCATGAAGCTCTCGGCATCGATGTCAGCATCAATCTCACTAGCCAGAAGATCCTCCTGTGCATCCATGCACATCAATATGATGTATGCATCAACAATCAACAACAATCCTCAACACATTCAACAGGTGTACAATATTATAATATTAATATATATATATGCATATACATGTAAATGTGTGTACATAATTGTAAATGCATCGATGCATGCTGTACCATAGTCAACATGTTCATGTTTAATTTGTGGCAAGCTTTTGGTGGTCCTGAATGCGTCGCACCCGTCTTTTGACTCTCCTTCGAAGCCGTCGCGCCTTGCATCGTAAAAGGATACAATGGAAATGATGGAAAAATTTGGAAAAAATACTGAATGCATCAAAATGCATCAAACAACTCAAATAACCCTGGCTGGTGTATTTCTTAAGACGAACTGAGTGTCCTTCACCACCATTGGTAAACACCCTCACATCTCATGCAAAACCAACTCGACGTTCCAAGCCGCCTTGGTCCCGAGGGACAGGTCACCTTCGACGTGTCCGTTGTCCATCACAGCACCTGGACAAGTTTGTTTCGGTGTTTGATAGTCTCTTTTGGAACGAAAATGTGTGAGACTAACTATTGTGTCAGCTTGAACAAGGCTTGAACCTCGCCTTGCTCAATCTGGAACTCATCGTCGATGATCAGTGTCCTGCATTGAGTCAAAGCGATGCGAAGCGCACAGATGCCAGAGGTAAAGCTCAATGCAAGCTAATATCAAAATCAAACGAGCTTAAGATATATTGAGTGCCAATAATCATTATTCATCATTGTAGTTGAGCCTAAGCCAGCCTGTTTCATCCAAATCTTTCACGAGCTGAGTTGCGAACTCACCCCGGGACCAAGCTTCCAAGACATCAGCATCTCGGAGCAAGCAGGCTTCAGGAGCCTCGGGCCTGGGAGTTCATGGTATCTATGGCATCCATGGCATCCATGGCATCCATGGCATCTATGGCATCCATGGCCTCTATGGTATCCATGGCATCTATGGTATCTATCTTGGTGACATGTCATCTTTGTGGCTTTTTCAAAAACTTTAAAGTCTTGAAGAGTCTGAGCATTCTACACTTGCTCCGGCTCCTCCTCGACAACCTCCACGATTCAGAGGCAAACCGACGAAAAAAGAATCACAGCCAAAGTCACTGTGTGAATGCATTGCACGCTCTGTCTGGTGTCAGGTAGATGGCCTTTGAAATGCAACCAAATAACGACGCAGGCATACAATATTATAGACACACACTGCATGATATGTATTTGTAGAAAGTCGCACAAAATTGAACGAATGTTGAATGAAACAGAATTTACGACTGTGTTGCTTTGGGTGTACATCATATGTAGAACATGACATGTTCTAAGTGATATTTGTGGACGGCGTATACCAGCTAGCAAGTATCAATCTAAGCTGTGCTTTTTGGCTGTCCTAGCACATGGCACGTTCGAAAACTTTCCAAGCCTGAAATGTTTGAGGAACCCGCTGCTAGGAAACATTTACTTGATTCTATACAAAACTTTGAACATGCAACCTTCAGGAGGCTTGCAGAAACCATGACCTAATCTCTCCATTGATATGACCCCAAGAATCCTGTCCAAGATGCTGCAACTGTCAGAACCAACCCACAGGAGCCCAAAAACATATGTAACCGGTTTCAGTGCAGTACGTCTAGTTTGGAAATAGTTGCCAGCACGGCACAAAAGGAATCCTTAACTGGCAAGAACTGACTTCTGGTAGTATAGACACACAAGTTCAGTACTTAGTCGTCCAGCTTCCAAATCCTTCCAATCTGGGTCTGTATGGCTCTGTCTTATTTCATGACCAAATTTTCATGCGGGAGACCTCTTCAGCTTCAATAGCGGGAACCATCTTCATCTTGGGCCTCTTCCTGTTTGATCTACGACCTTAGAGGGATTGACAAAAGGACAAACATGGACAAACTATCAATCTTGCACAATCTTGCACCAGGTGTTCTTTCGAAACATCAAACCAGTCTTTGCAAATCAATATTCCATCGACATGTAAGAACTAAGGCGCTGGCCAGGAGCTACTAAGGCGTTGTTTACCGTTGTATCCACGGCTATTTCATGCTCTGGCGTCAACTCCTTCCCGAGAAAAGCTTTGGGCACCAAGCTTTAAACAAAAAGTCCAATGGCATTGGCTGGGAGCTCGGCATGTGTATTACAGAGCATGGCATAGCACGCGCCAAGAACTTGTGGAAGTTTATTGAGTATGTACAGAATATTGAATCTTGCATTTTTTGACATTGATGAGTGTGGATGTCAGTGGGCACCCAGCCAGCAATTCAACTCTCGGTTGGTTAATTGGTGATTGTACTGATTCATGTTTCAGTCCTTGCTTTGAACGGATTCTTGAGATGGGTGTAACCTGGCAGCATTATTCAAACATGACAAACCTACAAACAGGAAACGCTTGAACAGTTCAGATATGTTCAGATTCATGCCAGAGGGGTCTGAGCGGTCTATCTTAAGTCCAATTTTGGGGTTCCCAATCCTAGCGAAAAAGCCTGAGGAGCTCAGTGGATCATTTCAGAAAGCTCATCTACATTAGTTGTTGTGCATCTTTTCTTCACTTTCATTGTGGCCAAGAAAAAGAAATCTTTCATTGCGATCACAGAAATCTGAGAAGAGTTTGCACATGCATGTGTATTGATGCGTTTGGATTGATTTTGCCATGGAAAGTGCAGGAACTTGGCCTCATCTCAGGTGAAGCAATGTCCAAGCCATCTACATCAACTGTTTGTGACACAGCAGGAGATAGGCGTGCTGCAGGTGCTCTCCCAGAAATAGAAGTCCTCAGAAACATCTCCCTTTGGTGGTCCAGTACTGTCCCGTCATCTCCAGCTGACACTTTGCAGATTTGGGCACCACACCCTTTGTGCTTCTTAAACCGCGAAGCGGCCAGTTTGGCAGATTCTCCGTAGCCATAACCTGAAAAAGGAGAGCAGTACACGTAACGAAAGATTGATAGATTGATAGATTGATAGAGTGATAGATTGATACTGTAGATTGATAGATTGATAGATTGATAGATTGATAGATTGATAGATTGATAGATTGATAATGAAGTAGGATGGGATAGGATAGGATAAACTAGACTAGACTAGAATCGAATAGAATAGATTGATTGATTGATCGAATCGTTGTTTTTGTTGCCTCCCCAAAGATGCCAATACTCGAGGAAACACAGAAATTGCCTTGAGGGCGGCGACTCTCTTTCGGCTCTGAGACCTCAACTCAATTCACAACACCACAACACACAGCCCTAGCACAAATCATCCAAGCGAAAAGCACAATTTGGCAATGAGATCAATGAGCATGTGACACTATATCTCACACACTGCTCTCAATCTTGCTGAGGAATTCGCCCAGCGACCAGTATGGCCACGTGGAGCCGGCATTAGCAGCGCTGTCTACTACATGGGTCCATTGGTCCACGAGAAAACATGTTTCACCAAAAAGGTGACCCCGCTGCTTTCCAGGATGTTGATTTGTTCGTTGCTGAGGCTTGTGGATTAGATTGTGCGAATCAGGCCGGCATTTCTGGAAGCTATGCTTTGCTTTGCAGATTCAATACCAGTATAGTGAATGACCTCAGAATAGCCCACTTGTCTGTTTGGTTTTAATCCAACCCCGTCCCTGAGCCCGGCAAATGGTGGGTGGTAGACTGGTTGAGGATTTCTATCGGATTTTTAGGTGCAGTGAAGAAAACGATGGAAAACACGCATAGAAATTTCAATTTGTCTACTTTCTTACCATTTCTAAATATTTCGATTTCTGTTTCACTACACTTCTGGCCTCCTTGGGCTGAGCTTCAACGATCGGCTGTGCCCCTTAGACCATTTCTTTGACCAAACGGTTTTGTGCGCATCTTGAAGCATCTCCACCCTTCACGACAAATGTGGTGAGACCAAGTACCTTCCTTGTTTGACAAATAAACAAATGGAAATTGCAAACCAACCCCCTTAGCGATATTTTTGGTACCTGAGTATGAGACCCTCAGTTGCCGCAGGCACTTCTGCAGGAACCTCCTGTCGACAGTGGCGTGTAGAAGAAATGAAACCGGAGCATGAAGCATTTCCAACAACTTCTAGGATGCTAAAGATGCAAAAAGCTTCAACAAGTAGGAAGGGACATGGAAGGACAAAGTGATAAAGTGAGTGTTGGGTGTGGTCAAATTTAGTCTGCACTGTGGGCTAGAAGCTTTCCACCCAGTCCTCTGCCGGCTTCTCAGTTTCCACAGGTCCACCAAAAGTTGGAGATGCAGAACGCTGCTGGCAAGATGGGGGGGAAATCACAGGAACATTGATTGCAGGAAATTGCACAATTGACAAGCGGTTGAAAATTCCAAAAAGAGGAATCCAATGCAATTCATCCCAGGCCTCTCTATTCTCAGTTCCACCAGGGGTTGCACCCAATGAGACCTGGTCCAAGGCACAATATCGGATTGAGAACTCAATGTGACAGTGGACTCAGTGGATGTGGAGTCGATGTTGTGGAGACTTTCACTCTTAGTGCTTGGTGACGCAAATGCTTGCCTCTGCTGCAGCATCCTTGGAAATGAGATGCTGTAAATTGTGCCAGACTTGGGTAGAAAATCCATGGACATGAACTACCTAGCCACTACAGTACCAGGCTTTTGAGTTTATAAATAGCATCGTCCGGAAACATCTAAGTGCTGATCATCTGTGGCAGATGACTGATTACCTGGCACCCAAGCAAGAATTGTCAAGGTATTATGACTTCGTCTGCTTTCAATGCTTCAGGGTCGCTGGTCTATTGGCATATCTTTAGCACAATTTAGCATTATTTGGCATAATTTGGCAGACATCAATGTGTATCTATTTATAATATTGTATAATCATATAATCAATAAATATGTGTGTGTCATTGGTGTTGCTGCGCCTGATGGCTCCGGTGAGTCCGGATTCTCTCCAGCAACTTGACCTGCTTCGAGCGGAAAGCGGAAAGCACAACGTGGCAACGGCACACTTAATTCGATGTAAAATATGATGTAATATGATATAGTATGATGTAATATGTTCAAGGATGTGCATGGATGATCATTGATCATCATGGATATAATCATGGATATAATCATGGATATGTTGTTCTCTGGTGCGAACAACTCCTGCACAGCATCCCAGCTACTTCACTGAAGATAGAAATGGACCTTGCTCAATGCCAGCAGATGTCAACTCATCTGCCTCGGGCTTCCCAGGAAACTATATATGCATTGGTTATCGCCGTTATCGCCCATGAATTCTGTGACTCCTCATGCAAAGCACCTTAAAGTAGTAACATGCCCAGTAATCTGCCCTGTCGTATGCCCTGTATCACTCACGTTTCTTGATCTTGCAACATCTGGTCATTGCCAAGGCCCAAGCATCGGTTGGCTCAGCAGGAACACTTGGATTGGTTGAGGCCATCTTTTGCGAGAGCTCAGCAAGAAGCTCAGCCTCCACATCCGCACAGCCAGGGATGGGCAGGTGCTGCTGCGGCATGCTGCAGGATTCGCCGTCGATCCAAGTAAGCTGATATTTCATGGTTCATGATATTTCGTGCTATTCATGCAGATTGATAATGATTGAGCCTCGTAAATCTCTCGGATACGATATCCTGGGTCTTCATCATCATGATACTCGTCTCCAACATCCCAGACCTGGTTCTGAAGAAACCATAAGCAACCAACATGTTCGTGTTCTTGGAATGTGCAGAATGATCAGAATGGTGAAGGAAACACTGAAGAAGTGACGTTGTTTTCTTGTCACCTTTCTCTGAGTCATCGTGCCGATGTTTGAGGTGCATCCCTCCGCTTGGGCAAATAGTGGGATGACCTCACTAGCTGAATGTCGCCATGTACTGACCATCTTCCCATGGGGAGTTTTCTGAAATTGGCATCTGGGGCCAACACACAGCTGGCTCAACAGGATTTTGACTTTGAGCCTTGGAAATTCACACATTTTGTTGTTCCGTTCAAAGTCCCATGCTCCCAGGGTGACCCAAGGTGACCCAAGGTGACCCAAGGTGTCCAAATGCCCAATACATCCCAATACTGGAATAGGACACAACATAGCAGTCAAGCTAATGGCATCCGCTGCTGGCACAGGTTGCGAGACCTTGCCACGTGATGTCACAGCTTAACCGCCATCTGACTGTCAGGGACTCTGCTATCTGTTGACTGCTAGCAGTGTGACAAAGCTCAGTCTGGCTTCTGTGCCTCTGGTTGCGGCTGCATCTCTTTTTGGATACTTTCCCAGAACCTGGTAGAGATGACCCTGACTGCATCAACCATGCCTCAAATCTATGTAAGAATGGTTCTTCAGATCGAGAGTCCATGGTACTGTATTCGAGATGACTTGAATAATAATGTTTTGAATGTGATTTGATTTGAATGTACAATTCATCGATATATATATATTATAAATATAATATTGATATATATATATATGTATATTAATATAATGGTTATATGGTCTTCTATATTCATGTCGTTTCATGTCCTCCCTACCAAATCCCTGCCTGGAGGTCTCAACATCACTGATAGTCAGGATGTGTCCAGTGTCAACTTGCTTGGGGTCAAGCACAATGTCCTGGTCTTAGCTTGGAACATGAGACATGCAGCAGGAGCAATCTGTGCTGAAAGGTGATCAAGTGAAGGGTGTTTCTCACTGTAACAAGCAGCGCTCCATGACGTCCAGCTTTGGAAAGGCGTCACTTTTCAGAGTGGTGTCGATGCATGTCAGGAGCTTGTCATCAGACAAGCATTGCCTTGACAGCTTAGTGTGTTGAGAAGCCGATAAAACATTGATGAAACATGAAGCTGCTGAACTAACTGTTGAGCTGATCTGGAAAATGCTCCTGGGACGATGTCTCCCTTGGTCCCTACTCAGCTTGTGGCCCTGTAGCCATAAGCTTTCTCAGGAGGTTGTCCAAAAGGTCATGAACAACAGCCTGGCCATCCCCAGGCACGAATCTTGCCCATAAATGCAGCTTTGGGTGTACGAACAGTTCTTGGCTTCATTCCCTGTCTTTGCAGTTGCTACATTTTGGAACACCTGAACAAGGCCATTTGACAAAACAAAAAACGCCACTGGCCCTCCAGTTTTATATACACGCCTCTCGACCAGTCTCACTCTTGGGCTTAATGGCCTGGATACAGTGGTGTCAACTTGGGCTTACGAAGTCTGGCAGTTTCGGTCAGCAAAAGCCCACATGTCAATGGATGATGGACCTGAGAAGAAAATGTGATGGACAAATGTAGCTCTGATGGAATCCCCGTCTGCCTCCAACTCTGCAAGCAGCAAAGCGCAGTTGTCCACGTGGCTTCGAAAGCGTTGAAGAACTCCCTGCCAGTCGAATCCAGATATCTGTGGACTCCCGACATGTGAACAATGTCCAGAAAGCATCAGTAAGCTTTTGACTGTCCATGTCAATGTACACCCACATCTATATCTACTGTCAAAAACAACATGCATGCAGTACCGTGCAGTGACATGTTGTCTTGATATGTACAAACAGCTACCTACGCTGGTACCTACAGTCGGTTCAGCGAAAAAAAACTTTGAGAGGACACCCCTTGCAACGCACTCTGCCTCCAAGGGAGGCACATGTTCACTGCATTGAGCCTTGGAGTGGCGTTCCATGCGAGTCTCTAAGTGTCTTGCAATAAATTGCCTGAGTTCCATTGAATCATCTGAGGAGTCCTGAGAAGTCCTGGCAAACAATTTTCGCCGAGTGAAGACTTCTGAGATCTTCTGAGGGTCTAGCGATAATGGCGTGCGCTGCTGTTGTGAAATGACATTGCTCCAGGAATTGGGCAATGAGCTCAAAGATTTGCACGGAACCTGGAAGCTGAGATCGCTGGGAAATGTGTATGATATCTGTATTGAATGTGGATATGCTGGTAGCAGCAAGGTGTAACGGCGCAACACTGTGACAGAGCCAACCGGAGCAGTGCGCAAGTCTCAATGTGGCGGTCAGAAAAGACTGCCGTATCCTTTGTTGACTTTGACATCACAGAAGTCTCCACGCCTTTCTCTGCACATGGCATCGACATTGCTGGATGGCTATATGCTTCAATGAGAGGCAATGGAAACTCTTGGATAGATACTGGGTGGAGGTTACTCTGAGAATGTCGATCAATTTCCGGCACGTTGTGCAGAGATGTGGAAGGGAGGTCGATAAAGAAGGTCAAGCCTGCTTAAAAACCTTTCACGCCCTTTCTGATGCCATGCATGCTTTTGAGTTCATAGGTCATCTGGACTCATTTGGCCCAGTCTTCTGAGCCAGCAAAACAGCTTCCCATCTCATCAAACATGAAACAGCTGGCGTCTCTCCTTTTGATCGTCACCTTGTTGCATTTGAAGGATGCTGACAGTCTCTGTGCAGAAGGTGTGCAAGCTGCGAACCTTCTATTAGATTAGTCTGAAATTGTTGAAGGAAAATGGGCACCACCGGGGGTAGGCACGTACAAACTTGAATAGGAGCTCCTTCTTCTGTTGGTGCCTCCACAAGAGTGACTCAATCCTGTGTGTCTCCTCCAGTGAAGCCTATTAGAAATTAGAAATAAGATGAAATAACATGAAATAACTGCATTTCCTGGAATGCTCCCCCTAGACACCGCCTTGGTGTCAGCCCTGCAGCATTACATCTAATCCTTCTAAGTGATATGTGTCAGAGCACGCACAAGTTGGACATCTTGGCCTGATCTAATTGCTTGAGAGCCTTCACACGCGTTGCAATCTCCTGCAGCGAAAAGGTCGCGTTTCTCAGGTCCCCAAATGAAAAGCATCTCAAAAACATCTATTTGTGCCCCGCAGCACGCTTCCAGCTCGCTGTTGATTTTCAAGCCAAGAGCAAGTTGGGGGGAAGACCAAGAAATCCCATGAAATGTTCAAAAGAATTGGCATTGTATACTGTAACATACTCTATATAACTATATGTCCGTCGTGCTCAAATACGTTTCGTGCAATTCAAACCAATCTAACATCTTTTAACTCCTCCTGCACCACCGGCCCAACAATAAATTGCAAGTATGACATTCAAGCGAATCAACAGCAACCAAAACTAGACTCACTAGACGTATCTTGACGTGCGTACGCTCATGCCGGTTCGGGTATCTCTATGATGATTATGTTTGTGCCTGCTCTGCATGTGGATGATTGTGATGATCAGCCCATGTGCTTGAATGAAGTGAAGAAACGGTTGGGCTGCGGAGCTGCCTCACTCTGCAGCGTTGCACCATCCGGCACTTTTGCCAGGATCGATTGCTCTTTGACGAATGTGCTGAGCACCTTGAGCACCGAATCAGAAGAGCCAGTGGACGCTTCAAAAGGAGTCTCCAAAAAAAAAGGAATTCTAGAAACACACATCCAACCTCATCCAATCATCCAATGCTGGAGCTGTTAATGATGTTAATGTCTTCCACATTGCTTCAGATTCATCCAGAATCATCCAGAATCATCCAGATAACAGGAAACTTTGGACGCGACCTCCACAAGTCCACAAGCATCTTTGGGTTTTTCAGCCTGAAGTCAAGCCAGCAAGAAACTTGCTGTGGGAATTTCCACGTAATTTATGTCAGATCTTTGAATGGAATTGCAAGGATGTTCCAAACTGTGTAACACTGCAAACACCACAAACGTCCAGTGGAATAAGGACCCTGCCACCACTCTGTCGATGACTTTGCCAAGATGAGCATACACATTCTGTGCAGGTGGCATTTCATTCAACTCTGGAAGCTGCTATGTCTGACACCTCTTGGACCCATCTGATTCACAACCCATCTTATTGCATGTGGTGGCGGGGTAGATAGCGGTTCATCATGTGTTTGCTGCAACTGGAAAAAGACGTGTTCAACAGCGCAAGCAGAGCTCGGTAGCTATGTTAGTTTACTGGAGAGTAAATACCATTAAAAGTCCAGGGGATGAACATCCACAACCTGCTTGGAGCTTTGGAACGTTCTATTTTTCCATTCCCAGATGCGAACAAAACGCTGCTGGAATATGAATCCCTACATGTATCCCAATCATGGCCCAGTTTTGTACAAGGTGGTGCCCCAGTTCGTTAGCTAAGTTGGTGCAAATAACTCCACTTTCACTAGGGTTGATTAGGGTGTTATATCTATACTTCTATGGTTTATAAACGAAGAAACATCAGTGGGGGGCACCACCTTGTAGGTCAATATAGCAGCACCATGGAGCAGGGATTGGGAATCTCTTCTCCCAACTTGGTTTTGTCACCAGCAACCGTTGGACAAACAGGCGGCGCGGAAACCAAAGATGGCCCGGAAACCTGTTTGGGAATGGCGAAGCGCTGCGACGTTGGAACGACCCCAAAAACGCCCTATCTGTTGAAAAGCCTAAACGTTTGATGTAGAAATGATTGGGTTACTATACAATACTTACTATAGCTGCAAGTTATAAGTTATAGGTGGTTTACTACTGTGATTGGTGTTGTTTTATGTACATATTTATATATCTTATTTACACATCGTTACAATAAATATATATTTACATATGATATTATACGATATCATATTATCGAAGGAAGTTTAGAAGCTAAGCTTCCGACAATATGGACAGATGGAAAAGCAAGTCAGCAGTGAGAAGATCAGACGTGAGAAGAGAAGAGATGGAGAGAGTCAGAAGGGAGAAGATGCAGGTGCGCGAAAAGGTAGGAAAGTCGCGAAACACTGTGTTTTTCCAGGGTTTTGTGGCTCCGGAGGGTCGAAAAGGAGGCTCGCTAAAGCGGCGGGCGCGGAGACATCTCGGCAGTTGAGAGATGAAAAGTTGCACGCGCGTGTGGCGCGAAGTACATTTTGAAGTGAAAAGTAGCAAAACACACCATTCTCAGACCACTTTTGGAAGTTGAGATGTTGAAAAAGTGCACGCCATTGTGGCGCGAAGCACATTTTGAAGTGAAAATGTACAAAACACACCATTCTCGGGCCACTTTTGGACGTTAAGATGTCGAAAACGTGCACGCGCGTGTGGCGCGAAGCACATTTTGAAGTGAAAATGTACAAAGCACACCATGCTCGGACCACTTTTGGAAGTTGAGATGTGCTAAAAGTGCACGCGCGTGTGGCGCGAAGCACATTTCGAAGTGAAAATGTACAAAACACGTCAGGTTCGGACGACTTTTGGACGTTGAGATGTTGAAAAAGTGCACGCCGTTGTGGCGCGAAGCACATGTGGAAGTCAAAATGGTAAAAACACCACACGTTTGGGCCACTTTTGGAAGTCGAGATGTGTAAAAAGTGTACGCGCGTGTGGCGCGAAGCACATTTCGAAGTGAAAATGTACAAAACACCGCATGCTCGGACCACTTTTGGATGATTTGAAGGCCATCCGATGTGGAAAAAGTGCACGCCGTTGTGGCGCGAAGCACATTTGGAAGTCAAAAGTGTAAAAAACTGAGGGTTTTAAGCCAATTTTGAGATGTCAGTTAGCTAACTGAACTAACAACTTCACAGCTTAACAACTTAACAACTTCACAACTTAGTTAGTTAGTTAGTTAGTTACTTAGTTAGTTAGTTAGTTAATTAGTTAGTTAGTTAGTTAGTTAGTTAGTTAAATAGTTAGTTAGTTAGTTCGTTCGTTCGTTCGTTCGTTAGTTAGTTAGTTAGCTACAAAGTTAGTCAGTCAGTCAGTCAGTCAGCCAGTGAGTCAGTTAGTTAGTTAGTTAGTTAGTCAGTTAGTAAGTAAGTAAGTAAGTTAGTTAGTCAGTTACTCAGTTAGTAAGTTTGTTAGTCAGTTAGTTAGTTTGTCAGTTAGTCAGTTAGTCAGTTACTCAGTTAGTCAGTTTGTTAGTCAGTTTGTCAGTTAGTTAGTTTGTTAGTCAGCTAGTTTGTTAGTCAGTTAGTCAGTTGGTCAGCTAGTCATTTGGTCAGTTAGTCAGATAGTCAGTTAGTCAGTTAGTTAGTCAGTTAGTCAGTTAGTCAGTTAGTCAGTTAGTCAGTTAGT